GCTTTAGCCATCCCACTGATACCCTTGTGTCGAATCAGGAGTTCACTGAAGGAATGAAAATTGTAAGCAACCCCAACTCTAATAATTTGAGCTACTCTCTTGAGATAAAGTCTGGAGATATGATTCTATCAGCAAATTATCAACCCCCACAGCCATATTGGGCCATGGGAATGGATACCAGAAGAATCATTGACACAGATGGAGGGAATGTTGTATCTGCAACTCTGGATGACAATTCTTGGAAGTTTTATAATCAAGATAAAGTGTTACTTTGGCTTTTTGTTTTCTCTCATAATCCTGATGAAAATACCACATGGGTGGCAGCTTTGGGAAATGATGGTTTCATCACTTTCAGCCTTCTTCAAGCTGATGGTAACTTCAGTGCCTCCTCGATGCACATACCACAAGATCTGTGTAGTAGACCTGCAGCATGTGATCCGTATTTTGTTTGTGAGATAGGAAGCAGTTGCCTGTGCCCTTCGGCCCTTCACTCTTGCACGAAAAGTAGTTTCTCCTTCTGCGATAGGTCACAGGACTCTGTAGAGCTTGTTGATGCAGGGAACACTCTTAGTTACTCTGCTCTCGATATTATTCCACCCTCTTCTAAAACAGATTTAAATGGCTGCAAAGCTTCTTGCCAAGGAAACTGCTCTTGTGCTGCCATGTTCTTTGACTATTCAGGAAACTGTTTTTTGTTTGATCAGATAGGAAGTTTGCAGCACTCCAAAAATGGTACTCAATATGCTTCTTATATTAAAGTCTTGACCAATTCAAGCGGTGGGGCAAATCAAGGAGGTGGTGGAATTAACAAAACACACTATGTGATTGTCATCATGGTTATTATCTCAGCTTTGCTCGCCATTTTTTGTCTCCTTTATGCAGGATATCAGTACCACCAGAAGAAAAACGAGGAATTGCCCAAATCCCCTGAAGAGTCTTCGGAGGAGCAAATATTTTTGGAGAATTTATCGGGACTCCCAGTTCGTTTTAGGTACAATGATCTTCAGACTGCAACTAATAACTTCAGCAAGAAGCTTGGTCGAGGTGGTTTTGGTTCAGTTTACCAGGGGATTCTCCCTGATGGAACTAGATTGGCAGTGAAGAAATTGGAAGGCATTGGTCAAGGGAAGAAAGAATTTCGAGCAGAAGTAAGCATTATTGGGAGCATTCATCATCTTCATTTGGTCAGGCTTAAAGGTTTCTGTGCTGAAGGAAATGACCGTCTTCTTGTGTACGAGTACATGGGAAATGGATCTCTTGATAGATGGCTTTTCCGGAAAAACAGAGGGGAATTCATGTTGGATTGGGAAACTAGATACAGCATTGCACTAGGAACAGCTAAAGGTCTGGCTTATCTCCATGAAGATTGTGATGTGAAGATAGTTCACTGTGACATAAAGCCTGAGAATGTACTTCTTGATGACCACTTTGTTGCAAAAGTCTCAGATTTTGGTCTTGCTAAGCTTATGACTCGAGAGGAGAGTAATGTTTTCACCACATTAAGGGGAACAAGGGGGTATCTTGCACCAGAATGGATCACAAACCGCGCCATATCAGAGAAGAGCGATGTTTACAGTTATGGCCTAGTGCTGCTTGAGATAATTGGTGGTAGAAGAACCTTTGATCGCTCAGAGCCCTCAGAGAAATCCCATTTTCCTTCTTATGCTTTTAAAATGATGGAAGAAGGAAAACTGGAGGACATCATTGATGGACGTTTAAAGATAGATGAAAAGGATGACAGAGTTTCTACAGCAATTAAAGTTGCTTTCTGGTGCATACAGGATAAAATGTTCCTAAGACCATCAATGACCAAGGTAGTTCAGATGCTGGAAGGAATCTGCCCTGTCCCTCCGCCACCGTGCTGTTCGCAGCTAGGGTCACAACGTTATGCAGTTTTCTTCAGGTCAATGAGCAATGAGGGCGCTGGCGCCTCACCGGGGCCTCGAATGAGCAACGATGATGCTCATCTTTCGGCTACAAGTCTTTCAGGGCCAAGATAGCAACCACAGAAGCTGAAGCAATTTCATTAAAATTGAGACCACTAGTGGAGAAGCCTTCATATGTACACCATTTTCATGCTTTTCTTCCTCGTACATTCATTAGGTTTTGTTTATATTTGGAAGGTAGACATTTTGGTATTCTAGCATTCAGTAAAATTGATATGCTGTTTGCACATCTTGCTCTGCAGGTCTACCAAACATATCTTGAAGAATGTATACATGATTGGATTAGCAAAATTTTTTCTCATTGTCGCTGATGAACGGGTGTATGCACTGAAAAACATGTTAGGGAAGAGCACCTCGAGAGAATCCACCAATATGTAAGTCAGGAATCCAATTCTGACCCAAAAGCTTAAGCTATTAGGTCTTGGGTCCTTACTTACATATTAACCGCTCTTTCTCCATCTCTCGGACCAATGTGGGACACAATCCTTTACTTATGAACCTAACAAATCTCCCCCTTCATGAGTAATCCCCACATGAAATCTAAATTTACAAGCCCTTTTTTGAACCTACTTTAATACTCAACGCAAGCCCACCTTTGGTGGCTATCCGAATATGAGCCCTACTAGGTCACGGGAGGTGGAGTCCCATTTGGATTCTACTTTTGGCCTTACCCAATGGGTCTAGAGTCCACCCCTTTTTCGGGTTCTAGGAGACACGTGGCTGAGGTCCGAACTGGCAGGTTTGCGCTGTCGAGCAGGTTCGCCGAACTGACACGTATCGTTTGAAGAGTTGACCCTTCTACACTAGCCCCCCTCTGAAGACCAGAGTCATTTGAATGAATTCGGAAAGGGTTTTACAGACGTGTCAGTTTGACGAAGTGACACGTCTCTCGCCATCATTGCTGCCCATGTTCTGAGAAACCGTCGCCTCCTTCTCGTGTAACCGCCACTTCAGTTTCGAGTAACTGTCACTTCAACCATCGCATCCCCCAACAGTGACCGTTACTAGCTTTAAATGCGAGTCTCTTCATTTTCCCGCTCTAGGGTCCCCCTATAAATAGGGTCCACCACCAGTCATTTTCACACTCCGCTTTCATTTCTTAAGCTCTCCCTGCTTCTTAGTCAGTTTGTGCTTCTTTTCCTCGGTTCGCTTGGCTAGTTCGTGTTGCTTTATCTGTGATACCCCGAAAAGTATGAGTGTGAGAAACCGAAAATTTTTATATATTTTCTCGATATTATTTTGTTTTCTTGTCTATAAGTTTGTTTTCTTCAATATATTAATTTTATATACATTTTTATAAGAAAATATAGTTTTCAAATCATTTTCTTGATCCAAGTCAGTCCACGTTAATTTTGAAGTGTATTATGAACGTGGGACCCGCTAGTGCGGTAAATGCGATTGTTTTTTTTCAACTAGTTGGTGAACCATGAAGTTAATTGCAAAGACTAAAAGTTATTGGGGCCATAGTGTGAGACTTAGCAAAGTAAGATATTAGTAACCTTGAAGCTTCTAAGGTCTTCCTAAGCTTAAATTTGATTGGTGGAGGAAAAGTAACCTTTGACCCAAGTGAAGACTAAGTCATCTTAAAGCCATCTTGGAGCTTCATTCTTCTCCATTTTTTTTTAGCTTGTTGGCTGAACACAAGAGAGAGAGTGAGCAAGAGAGAAACTTCATTTGTTCTTCAATTTCTTGCCCAATCTTGAATTCTAACCAGAATTTTTGCAAAACCCTCCATCAAAGTTGTTTACTAAGGTAGATTAAAAGATTGAGTGGAGTGATTTTGAAGGGCAAGCTCCAAGCTACTACCTTTCTTGTGGTTTTAAGGTATTTTGCCTAGAACATCCTCTTTACTTCAATTCATTGTTTATTAGTGGTTTTTAGTTGTTTTAGATGTTGTTTTGTGGAAGATTAGCACTTGAATGCATGAATTCCAGATTAGGGTTCCAAACAGGCCTGTTCTGTCCGAATTTTTTTGAGCATACTAGAGGCCGAATTAGCCTTAGGTTAAAACATGAAAGTTGTAGAGAATGATATTTTATAGTTGCCTGTAAAATTTCAGCTCAATCTGAGCTCGGTAGCCTGTGAAAAGTCGGAAATACCCAGACTGGTCTAGGTAGGAGTTCAGCAAACAGGGTTGTCATTTCACCCAATCTGATGTGAATTTTCACCATGCTCCTTACCGAATTAGATTTTGGCCAAAACATGAAAGTTGTAGCCAATGGTGTAATATAGTTGCCTGAAAAATTTCAGCTTGATCCTAGCACTGTATCTTGTTAAATGACCGAAATACCCTTGACTGTCCGTGAAACCTGTTTCGCGCCCAGATTTCTGTTTTCGTGTAGTTTTCCATTTTTGACCATGAAAATGCATGATTTGGCCTTGGATTAAAACATGAAAGTTGTAGGGAATGATATCTTAGAGATGTCTGCAAAATTTCAGGTCAATCGGAGCAACGTAGCTTGTGAAAAGACTGAATTACCCCTGCTGCCCTGTTTCTACCCGAATTTGATAATTGCGTCTGTAATTCGTTATTTTGGTTGGGAATACTTAGGAATTGGTTGTTGAGGTCTTCTTATGAATTGTAGCCGTGTATCTTAGCTTTCGGATGGCTTTGGAATCACTTGATTTGGACTTAGGGAGCCTGACTTATGATGTTTCAACCAGAATGCGGTTTGTGAACCTATTTTTGCGGTTCTGGTGTAGTATCTTGCATTTTTTACCTGGTTACACTCGAAAATGGACTGAATAGCCTTCTTCAACATTGTATCCCTATCTCTTAGCTTCGAAACGGTGTATCTTACACCTCGATCCGATAATCGTAGTGCCAGTGGTACCGAAACCGCAAACTGATGTCAAAACTGTTTTTATGGTTTAGAACTTAACTTTTCATTTCCGGACATTTCCCTAGCTTGAATTGTACTTGTACTACTTGGAGCTCATTGAACGGCTATTGAATGAATTTATTTGTGTGACTTTGGGACTGGCTGAGGAAATAATGAAGCCTTGACGGCTGGAAAAGTAAGCAAATTTAGTGGAAGTGCTGTCCGAACTTTGAAAGGACTTGATTGCATTGAGTTTGTGATCTAAGACTTGGATTTGAGCAAGGCAATGATATATGATGGTTGGTTCCTGAGCCGTGGAGGTGAGTGACCCTAAACTGTTTCCAAAGTTATTTATGAATCGTTTCTTGCACTATTTACTTGATTGCATAGCATGAGTGCTTGCATGTGGCCCATGACATGTTTTGGCTTAAATGAGTACTTGGAATTCGTGTGCTGAACACCAACGTCTCCACCTCTGTGTACTGTTCATCTGGAGCAAATGGCTCCCCCTCTGACTGTTTACTGTTAAATGTTTGTTTGGAGCGTTGGGTGTTTAAGTACAATGATTTCACTGGCTCACGAGAGCAATAAATGTACATTTGATCTTGGAATCATGACATCACTGAAATGAACGACTGTGAAACTGATTTGCTTACTGATTTTATTGGTTACTCGCTGAGTTTTTAGCTCACCCCCAAAATGTTTTATTCCCCTCCACAGGGCTCGTGACGAAGGAAGGGCTTGTAGTACTTACTCATGCGAATGGATGGCTTATATTTTGTACAATTTTGATTTGGAATTTCCTCTGTATAATAGTTGGTATCAAGGATCGGAGTGGCGCAGCGGAAGCGTGGACGCTTCGCTTATGACATGTAATTCTTGGGGAATTTGATGTAATATTTGGGATTTATATTGCAATTTAATTGAGGACTGTAGTGAACGACTAATGTAAAATTTAAAATTTTAATCATATATACATGTTACCATTCAAATTTAAAATTTGAATTTGTGGAGATAAAATTGAAAAAAAAAACACACAAACATCGCAATTAAACCACTATTCTTAAAAAGTTAGATTCTCGAAATATGACTAAATAATTGGGATGGAGAGTAATATATCTTCTACTTAAAATTTAGTGTACAAGTTTACTCGGTCTTGTTCTATTCAAATATAAGCAAATTCTATTATCAAACTAGTTTAATAGGAAAAAAAACCACTTGATACATTATTTTTAAGTATTTGATGAGACGTGGTTATCAACATCTCTAAATTTGGAAATTTACACTAATCCAAAACACAGTAGTAACATGAATACATGGATAATCTAAAACTTGATACTTTTTACGGGATAGGTGGAGAATAGAGTTATCAATGGATCAGATCTTGGTCTAAACCCGATTTGTTTTTCCAGATTCAAAATTGGTAGTAGATCCGTTTACGGGATGCGTGGAAAATAGAGTAATCAATGGATTGGGTCTTGATCTAAACCCGATCTATTTTTGCAAATTCGGAACACGTAATAGGTCCATTTTACTTCAATTGGTTTTATTTATAAGCTAAATGGACCGGATATGAATATATATGTTGTCACCCGTTTGGATCCGGATTCAATTAGTATAAATATTTAATTAAAAAATTTATAATATTCATTAAAATTTATTGCTAATCCACTCATTTATTTACTGAAAGAGATTTTCTATAAAACAAATAATTATTAGAATTAATCCAGTCGTATTGTTAATGTTGTGCTAATAAAGTTTATGTTGAAATAAAACCTTGAAATTATTAGAAAATTATTATATGAAATTAATTTCAAAATCTAGATACACTGGACCTGGATCTGGATCTAGCCAAGTAAAGATCCTAAATTATATATCGAGACCCGTCTATATCCAGCTCCTGCTCCGCATCGTTTATTACATGTTGGAATCGAGTCCGAAATTACGTCACGAACTAAATCTATTAGCTAAGAAAAGTGCAGAAATGAATTATCTGGATTTGTTAGTAGAATAAAGGGAAAGAATTATGAAGATGAATAAGAAGAGCAATAGGGAGAAGGGGAAAAGAAAAGATCTGGCAAAGAGACAGGAATTTGGTATTGAAGATCAGGAAGAAAGATACAAATTCGGCTACAACTTCGCTATCCTTTCCTACTAACTGACAATGGGTATTTAAAGAGCCCGCGCTGGGTTGATCTGCTGGTGGAAGTAACCTCCTTAGGTGAGTTTCATCTGGATTCGATTCCGGACAGCAATCCAGTTGTTATCTTCTTCAGCATCGGTCGGGCTTGCTCTGCTGAAGTGTTGTGGGATTAGTCGGGTGTAGATTCGGATACTCACAGTGATTACAAAAAAAAAAAGGCAATGGGTATTAAAAGACCAATCCCATACCTACACGTGGTTTCTTCCACTAATAACTATTATAATGATCAAAATGCATCCCTTATTAGTCCAAACGACACCCTCTCCTTCTAATTTTTGACAAATTATTAATTCCGACTCGAATCCAACCTTGACATCCCTAATAGGCAGTAAATCACTAGATCCTTAAAAAATACCAAACAATTTAAAGAGTGGCTTGTTCTATTCTGTACCCTTAAGACACAATATAAAACAATTTAAAGACGTGGGATTGAGCGTTGCTCGAAAAAGTTTAAAATTTTTTAGCTAAATTTAGAGGGAGATAATAATGTTTAAAATTTAAAGTGGATTCATTATTTGTACTTTGTATGCTTATCCTATGCCCTAAAAGTACATAACAGAAAAACCTTAAAGAGTTAAACTAACCATACTAAAATAATAACATCTCTAATTTCCATGATTAATGAAACATTAGTATCTCTCTCTTCTTTTTTAATTAAACGATAATATAACATCTCCAATCTCTATGCTTTCACTTTCTTTCTTTCGAAATAAATATTATTTAACTCGAGAATGATGACGCATAGGCATGCGAGAGCAAACTAAAAGAGCTGTTAATCAATCTCTAAAATACTACGGTATATAGTACCTCTAATCTCTGGGATTTATTTATTTAACTATGTCGTGCCTCTCTTTCTAATTAGTCAAACTAATCAGCTGATAAAAATTCATCAGCCTTCTGATTGGAAATCGTGTGAAAATTTGATTCTGAAGCCCCCCACAAATCACATCTCGTTTCTTCTGTCAAATGATTCTAATCTTCTTATTCCAATCTTCCCAACTTTTGCTATAAATACCACATCTCCCAAAACCCACCACCCGGGCCCCTCGGGAGTCTTATCTTCATCACCTGAAGACCGATCCAACTCACAAGCCTGAGACAAAAGGAGTTGCTGTTTTCCACCCATCAATAGCTAGCCAGCTGAGCTCCGATGTAAGTCTTTTCCGGTATTCATTTTTTGGTTTTTGGTGTGGTATTTTACGTTGCTCCATGGAAGATTATTTCTCCTTTTCTTGTTTTTAAATTTTCCGCTAAATTTATGGAAGATTCTATTTTTGGCCGAATCTGCTGTTTCTGTTTTTAGTAATTTGTATTGGTGAATAAAGGAGAAGGGCAGAGTTAGTTTTAGGCTAAGAATAGAAAAGCATTGCGGCAGTTGAGTGATCTGGAGTTGCTGTTTTCCTTGTAAACCTCATTATGGATATGGTCTTTCGTCATCTCCCCTCATTTGTTTGGTTTGGCATTGGAATGGATTTCATTCTATTGAAGAGTTAACTCAAGTTGAAACATAAGTGGGAAATGATAAGGGATAAAATTTAGGGTACATTACGTACAATCCCCTTGGTTTTGTCTATTACTATATGATCCCTATAATATTTCAAAATGTCCACTTTACTTTCCTACGACTTTATGTAAAGTGGAAAGTTAACAGAAAATAGCCTATGTAACGTCATTAATTGGAATACCAATAGTGCCCTTACTTAAATGTTAAATCAATCGATGACTTAACTACTTTGTATAAAAGCATAGGAGGATTATGTGAATAAATGCTAAAATCACATAGGGGTAAATAATCATAAGGGGGTTACAAGGAAATTAAAATTTTACCACACACACTTTTAGAGCATATTTAATATAAATGCCGTAATTGATTATGCATTCTGTCCATTTTTCACTTTACATAAATCTATAGGTGAGTTATGTGGCTATTTTAAAACCTTAGAGGAGGCCATCTAGCACATGTAAAATCATAGGAGGTATAATTAATTTACCCAAAATTTAATGATTTCATTTTGGTTTACCGATCACTAGGTAATTAGGTATAGGTATCCTTAATTTTAATATACACTGTCGATCCTTAGACCCATTTACCAAAATGAACAATCTTGCTTCCAGCTCAAAATGAGCAACCTTCGTTGGTATCATCATTATTATGTCCTTTGCCCTTCTGTAACTCTACCAATTTTTTTCAAATAATTGTTATTTTGGACTTCAATCATTTGGGGTGCAAACCCTGGCTTGGAACCTAGCTTGGCCCAACCAGTTAAACCCTCAACTCCTCTGCCTTGAAAAATTGTTCATCAATTTTGGTAAACTCGGAAGAACCGCTGCTGGTTCAGCTGTTAACCTGATTGAACCGAGATGATTTGTAGTGAATTAATCAGGTCAATGGCCCAATGCAATTAAGACCAAATTCCTTAAAATTTGCTGAAATTACTCTTCGCTGCATGAATGACTAAGTTTGAATTGTATACCTTACCGGTGATGCTTGTCTTCGACTAATTAAAAACACAATTATTGAGTTTACCTTACCATTTCTCCCGTGAATTCTCTACCTAGAAATCAGTTCAACGTTTCTTTCTTTCTTGTTTTTTTCAAATTTTCTATCTAACTTGTCTTTTACTTTTAGGTAAGCAAATATACATCTATTGATTTTTACTAATTTATTCCCTTTGCTTGTTTTTCAATTTTGACCAATTCAAATCTGCATATTTGACAGCATTGGAGTTATGTTATTTTCTACTTGTTCTAACATTTCAGTCAAATAGCTTTTCCGTGCAAAAAAGTGAACTGCAAAGGAGATGGAAAACAGGGAGAAACAGTACAAAGCTCATGTTTTGGCTATTCCATTTCAAAGTGCGGGCCACATAAATCCTATGCTTCAGTTATGTAAGAAACTCGTACGTAAAGGGCTGAAAGCCACACTAGCCATCACCAAATTCACCTCCAAAGTTTCGTTTCCAAAATCAGACAAAGTCCAGATTGACATAATATCAGATGGCTATGATGAAGGTGGCTTCTTTTTCACTGACCCTGTCCCAATCTCCATGGCTCGCTTTAAAGAAGTTGGCTCACAATCAATTCTTGAACTCCTGAAGAAGTATGAATCCTTAGGGACTCCAATTGATTTCATCATCTATGATTCATTGCTACCTTTTGTGCTTGATCTTTGTAAAGAAATTGGTTTACCTGCAGTGGCTTCCTTCACTCATCAATGTGGTGTAAACTACATAATGCACCAGTTCTCTCATGGAAAGCTGACTAATCCAGTCACTGAGTTTCCAGTCTTGATTCCAGGATTGCCACCACTTGAACATCAAGATCTTCCTTATTTTGGCAGTAATATACCATATCATTTTGCATACGTATGTACGCAGTTCTCAAATGTAAATCAGGCGGATTATGTCCTTGTCAACACATTTTGTGAGCTGGAAAAGGAGGTGAGTCTTGTAATCAGAAATTTTGTTTGATTCAGGTTCCTTTGTACTTGTATTTGTATCTCTCTGTGGCTCCATCACTTTCTTTTCTTCTTTATGTTAAACATATATGTCTGCTTGTTGTCTTCTTTAAGGAACCAATCTTAGATGTCTTGGTGTATGAACTAAATTCAGTATTTCTCATGAGATAGACTAGATACTCAGAACAAAACAATTTGTGGCTTAACAAAGACATGTTCTTTGTTGAATTTCTTCAATCTGAAGGGTGTGCTTGATTTATTTCTGTGCTGGAAATTGCACAAGGCAGTTCCAGAGAAATGCAGGTGGGCTTTTTACCGCTTTTCAATGGGTTCCTAGTTAGGCCATAAACAGAATCTTTTGACTAGTTGAAGCTGCTGACGGATACTACTCACTAAGGAGGTTCATTAAGTGAAAATTTTGCAACTAAAATCAGACAAAGTTTTCAAACATACTATATCAAGCATAGGACGCAGATCATTCATAGTCTTTAGAGTATCCAGAAGTTCATCTAGACTGATGAATTTGTGATTTTGATATTCCTTAGCTTCATGGAATGATGATGTATGAATGGTTTGACATTATCCTTCGTTGCTCATCTAACTCATTCAACGCAGAATCATGTTGAAGCTACAAATAATTGTAAAATTTGATCCCCCCTCTGTTATATTTGGCACAGGTGGTGGATGAATTTTCCAAACACTTGCCAGTTCTGACAGTAGGGCCAACAGTTCCCACTTTCTACCTGGACAGGAGAGTTGTAGATGACAAAGAATATGGAATCGCTTCAGCAGACAATGACCCCTCAATATGTTTAAATTGGCTAAATAGCAAACCAGCCAGGTCAGTTATTTACGCATCGTTAAGTAGTGTGAGGTCTGCCAGTTTTGGCGAAAAGCAATTAGAGGAACTTGCTTTGGCTTTGAAGAACAGCAACTACTATTTCTTATGGTCTGTCAAACATTTTGAGGCTGAAAAGTTGCCAAAAAATTTTAATGAAGAAGCATCCGATAAAGGTCTCCTTGTCCCATGGACTCCGCAATTGGAAGTACTTTCGAGCGAGGCTGTGGGGTGCATTCTCTCACATTGTGGTTGGAACTCATCACTTGAAGCTATAAGCCTAGGAGTGCCAATAGTGGCAATGCCACAATTTATAGATCAACAACCAAATGCTAAGTTTATCCAGGATGTTTGGAAGGTGGGGATCAGAGTGAAGCATGATAGGAATGGACTTGCAACAAGGGAAGAAATTGGACGATGCATTAAGGAGGTAATGGAAGGAGAAACAGGAAAAGAAATAAAGGAAAATGCTATGAAGTTTTCCAATTTGGCTAAAGCGGCTGTTAGTGAGGGTGGAAGTTCAGATACAAATCTCAATTACTTTGTAAGCAAGATGACGAGTTCCTCTTGATCATCTTGTCATTGAGAACCCTATGTGGGTTGTATTGTTTATCTATTTAATCTTCATTGACTTGTATTTCGTGATATTTACTATGAATGAATTTTAGCTAGCATTTTTGTCGGACTAGCAATGAGATGTGCATTGCCATGTTAGTCAAGACATAATGCGCAATGGGTCTTCTGCTTTACTCTTATTCCATTTTTTTGTCTCATTTTTGTTATATTGCTATGTTTTCTTTATAAACATTATATTTTAATTCTTTTTCATTTTCTTAAAATCCAATAACTGATAACTGAGTAGTGACATTTTTTAATGAATTTAACAAAGTTAAAAAATCAAATACACAGAAAATGAGTTTTTTTTAAAAGAATTTTCTGCTGTATTTTGTGGTTTCCTATTATATATTGCTTTTTGAAACCGTTGTATTTTTTTACGGTGTTAGTAGTTACTCCTTCCGTCCCATTGTTAATGTCATATTTTCACTTTTTACTTATCCCAAAATTTGAGTCACTTTGAAAAAGGCAAACCACTTTTAAAATTATTTTTCAGTTATACCCTTCTATTGAAAAGTCAAGATTGCACTAACCAATATTGATGGACCCAGCCTAGGGATGGCAATGGGGCGGGGTTGGGGCGGGGGACCCCTCCCCCGTCCCCCGCCCCGTTGCCTATTAGTTCCCCCCGTCCCCCGCCCCGTTGCCTATTAGTTCCCCCCGTCCCCCGCCCCGGCCCCCCCTCCCGCTCCCCCCGCCCCGCCCCGCCTTGCCCCGCTTCCCCCGCGGGGGCACCCGTGGGGTTAATAAAATTTTATTATAATTAAAATTTAATAAATAATCAAGTACTAAAATATCAACACATCACCAAATTATTATTCATTGTAATTTTACAATTGAAACTCATAAAAACAATCAAACAGAAGTTATTTGAATACAATCCAATATGATGAAATAATTAAATAAATATAACTAAAATAGTCAAATTTTCACTTTTAGTACAAATGCAATCACTAATTCATCATTGTGTTTGTGCTTTTTTTTTGAGAAAAAAGTGTTATTCTATTAAGTGTAATTAGAAATTTAGTATAAATGTATTAGTAAATTTAATATAACTAATTAATAAATTCTATTAGTAGACATGTATAATTATTCATATAATTGATAATATCAATTATATTACATAAATTAATATACATTATATAATACATCTAACTAATAATATCATTATCATAATTTTATAACTAATTAACTTACATATAATATATAGTCATTTATATATATATATATATATATATAATTTTTTTTTTGCGGGTGGCGGGGCGGGGGATGGGGCGGGGGAGTATACCCCCGCCCCCCGCCCCGTTTCTAAGCGGGGGGAAAAAATTCCCCCCCGCCCCAACCCCCGCCCCAACCCCCGCCCCGTGAGCCCCCCGCGGGGCGGGCACCCGCTCCCATTGCCATCCCTAACCCAGCCATAACACATCATCGGAAGTTATACCCTTCTGATTGTCTTTGCCTTTTAGTCAAAGTGACTTAATGGCAAGTGGTCCCCAACAGTTTGTTGTTTTACTTCACAAACAACAAAAGGTACGATTGGAAGAGTCAGATAAGTGTATCCCCATAATGCTATTGTACATAAAAAATATGTTTTCCAAAAAACGTTCTAACAAAAGGTACGATTGGAAGAGTCAGATAAGTGTATCCCCATAATGCTACTGTACATAAAAAGTATGTTTTCCAAAAAGCGTCCCAAATTTTGGGACGGAGGGAGTGTTTCTTTAATAAAGAAATACTCCCTCTGTCCCAAAATTTGGGACACTTTTTGGAAACACAGTGATGTATAGTAGTATTATGGGAACACACTTATCTAACTCTTCCAATTGTACCCTTTGCTGTTTGTGGAGTAAAACAACAAACTGTTGGGAACCACTTGCCATTGAGTCACTTTGACTAAAAGGCAAAGACAATCAGAAGGGTATAACTTCTGATGATGTGTTATGGCTGGGTCTATCAAAATTGGTTAGTGCAATCTTGACTTTTCAATAGAAGGGTATAACTGAAAAATAATTTTAAAAGTGGTTTGCCTTTTTCAAAGTGACTCAAATTTTGGGACAAGCAAAAAGTGAAAATATGACATTAACAATGGGACGGAGGGAGAACCAGTATACTATAAAAAATGGGACATAGAGTGGAATATGACGTGAGATAAAAGATCGGTTACACATCATCAAGAGCTGAATTTTAAGGGAATCACAAAAGGTGTGTGAGGGCTTTTTTGAGCAAGTATTATTGTACGTTCAACAATTTAGCAAATTACATATACCTTCCACTTAAAATTTTGTATACAAATTGAGTCAGTCATATTGTAATCAAATGTAAGCAAATTCGATTATGAATCCAGTCTAACAAAAAAAAAAAAAAATCACCGAATGCATTATCTCTAAGTATTTAATGAGGTTATCAAACACTTCTAAATTTTGAAGTTTTCACTTTAATCCAAAACACAAGCTAGTAGTAATATGAATACATGGATATTATAGTCTAAAACTTGATGCTTTTTATGAAATGCATGGGCTGTAAGGCTGTTAACAGATTGGGCCTTAACCTAGATTCGATCCGTTTTTTTAGGTTACAAATAGGTGGCATATCCATTTACCCGAATTTGTTTTGTTTATAAGCTGAATGCGCTGGTTATGGATTTATATATTCCGATTTATTTTGAATCAGGATTCGATTAGTATAAATATTTTAATTAAAATACTATGTATTAATTAATTTTTATTACTAATCCACTCATTTTTTCTCAAAAAGATTTCTATAAATCAAATAATTGTTTGAATTAATCCGATTGTATTGTTTATATTTAAATAAAACTTTAAAATTATTAAAGAATTATTGCATTAAATTAATTTCAAAATCTGAAAATACCTAACCTGAGTCCCGATCAAGCCAAGTTTGATTTCTAAACTATATATTGAGACCTGTCTAGATCCGATTCCAAATCGTTTTATTACATGTCGGATCCAAATTTGGAATTACCAATTCCAACTAGAATCCGACCTCTTGACACTCTTTCGTGGGTAAAAACCAATAGATCCTTAAATAATATCAAAAAAATTATAGAATTAAACTAACGATAGTAAAATAATAACATCTCTAATCTCCCTGATTCGTAAAATATTAGTATCTCTCTCTCTCTCTTTTTAAATTGAATAAAATTAACATCTCTAATCTCCATGATTTCAATGTCTTTCTTTCGAAGTAAACATCATTTAATTCGAGAATGATGACGCCTTGGCATGTGAGAGCAAACTAAAAAAGCTACTATTAGTCAACCTCTAAAAGCCTTAGATACTTAAGTATCTATACTCTTTTGGATTTAACTATTGTTTTCTCGAAGTATAGGTCACTTAAATCGGGTCTCTTTCTAATTAATCAAACTAATCAATTGTTAAAAAAATCATCAGCCATCACCTTCACAGTGGAGTCCGCTGACCGTTGATGATTCAAAATCGCGTGCAAATTTGATTCTAAAAGCCCCACCAATCACATTTCTTCTGTCAAATGACACTAATCTTCTGATTCCACTCTTCCCAACTTTTCATTTAAATACCACATCATCTTCCTGACTCTCTCCCCTGAGTCTTCATCACCGAAAAAACCGATCCAAACTCACAAGGCTGAGACAAAGAAGGAGTTGCTGTATTGTTTCACAACCATCAGAAGCTAGCTGAGCTCCGATGTAAGTCTTTATATAGCTCAATGGAAGATTACTTCTCCTTTTCTTTTCTTCCTTTTAAATATTCTGCTAAATTTATGGAAGATGCTATTTTTGGTCGAAGCTGCCGTTTCTGGTTTTAGTAATTTGTGTTGGTGAAGAAAGGAGAAGAGCAGATTTTAGTTTTAGGCTAAGAATGGAAAAGGTATTGCGACAGTTGAGGTAGTTTGCGTCAGATTGTTGGCGGTCCGGATTGGGTTGTGGTTCACGCGAAAAAAAAAAAAAAAAAAACTGAACCATTTGTCTTTTGCTTTAGGTGGGGGTTAAAAATTTGAGTTAAGTTACTCCATATGTGAATCGAGTTCGATTTAATAAGAATTAGTTTGAATTTGATTTGTTAATTAATCAAACCAAACTTATATAATGTTTTGTATTTTATAAATTTTTAAATTCGACTCGAACTTGATTTTATTAGCATTTTTATGCTAATTTTATTAACATGAAATGAGAATTTATAAGTAAAAATTACAGGTTATTGGAGCCTGATTTGATCTCGATTCGATAAAAGCTGGCCTAAGTTTGGTTTGAAAAATTAATAAGCTAAACTTGAACACATTTTCAATATTATTAAAATAATCAAATAAATTTAAACATTAAATTGTTGTACTTGGTTGGTTAGACTCATTTATTGTGCTACTTTTGAGAGTCATCTAAGTTGGGCCACATTTGGTGCGACCCATTTTAGGCCCAGATCTGATTGATCTGGAGGTTTTTATATCTCCTTAAGAACCGGCTTCTATTTAGCTTTGGGCCACGTTTGGCTAAGTCTTGATAACAATAATGGGTATCTACATACAGACAACGCTTGACAGTTCAATTATCCTATTCCTAATATTTTGATTAGTCCTTATTAGGTGTTTGATTCGTATTTCGGAATCAAAATTGGAGCCTCAATTATAAACCTCATCATGGATGTGGTTTTTGTTCATCTTCCCTCATTTGTTTGATTTGGCATTGGAATGGGTTTCATTCCACTGAAGAGTTAATCAACTTTTGTTTTTGAAGCAAGAGTTAATCAACTTGAAGCACAAGTGGGACTGTGGGACACGATAAAAGATAAAATCTATTACTTTCCATTTTGGTCTACCGAACAATAGGCATAGGTATCCTTAACTTTAATATATATTATTGATAGAGATAGCAATTAAGGCGGGTGCCCATGGGGGCTAATAGGGCAGGGGCGAATTTTTTTCCCCGTTTAGAAATGGGGCCGGGGGGGGAGGTAGTATACCCCCGCCCTATCCCCCACCCAACCACCAATTTAAAAAATTAATAAATACACATATATGTATATAATTATATATAATATTTAACTTAATTAGTTACAAACTTATAATAATGATATTATTAGTTATATGCATTATATATTGTATATTAGTATATGTAATATAATTGATATTAGTAATTATACTAATAATTATACATGCCTACCAATAGAAATTATTAAGTAGTTGTAATAAATTTACTAATACATTTATATTAAATTTCTAATTACACTTGAAACAATAACACTTTTTCTTAAAAAAAATATAATAATGATTTGGTGATTGTATTTATAACAAAAGTAAAAACTTGATTACTTTAGTTGTATTTGTTTTGTTATGTTGGATTGTTTTCAAATAACTTTTGTTTGATTGTTTTTATGAGTTTCAATTGTGAAATTATAATAGATAATAACTTTATGATGGGTTAATATTTTAGTACTTGATTAATTGTTAAAATTTGATTGTAATAAAATTATATAACAAATTTTTATTAGCCCTGCGGGGAGAGCAGGGCTAGACGGGGAGAGCAGGCGATGGGGACGAGGGGAATTAATGGGCAGTGAGGAGGGGGGCGGGGGAGGGGTCCCTCACCCGAACCCTGCCCGATTGCCATCCCTAATTATCGACCCTTAGACTAATTTACCAAAATGAGCACTCTTAATTCCAGTACAATTTTGTCCTTTTGTAACATTACCAATTTTTAGGGATAATTATTTATATTGGACTCCAATCATTTGGGCTGCAAACCATGGTTGGGAGCCTCGCTTGGTCCAACCAGTTAAACCCTCAACTCTTCTGCCTTCCTGTCTTGGTAAGTACAAAACCTGATAGGGTTAAAAATTGTTCAATTTGGGTAAACTCAGAAGGACTGTTGCTAGTTCAGCCATTAACCTATTGAACCAAGATTATTTGTAATGAATTTGGTATTGAACGTCTGATCCCATTGAGTTTAAGTCGGAATTATATGCCTTACCAGTGCATGCTTGTCTTCCACTAATCAAAAAGACAATTATTTTATTTATCTTGTGATTTCTCTCGCAAATTCTCTACTTCACTAAAAATCGCTTAAACTTTTATTTGTCTTTTTCAGTTTTCAATCTAGCTTTTCTTTTACTTTTAAGTGTGTAAAGATACATCTATTTATTTTTACTAATTTATTTCCTTTGCTTGTTTTTCAGTTTTGACCAATTGAAATCTAAACATTTGACTACATTGGACTTGTGTTAGACCTACTTATCCTAACATTCCTGTCACAACTTTTAGAGTACAAAAAAGTGAACAGCAAAGGAGATGGAAAACAGGGAGAAAGACTACAAAGCTCATGCTTTGGCTATTCCATTTCAAAGTCCGGGCCACATAAATCCTATGCTTCAGTTATGTAAGAAATTCATACGTAAAGGTCTGAAAACCACACTAGCCATCACCAAATTCACCTCCAAAGTTATGTATACAAAATCAGACAAAGTCCACATTGACATAATATCAGATGGCTATGATGAAGGTGGCTTCTTTGTCGCTGACCCTGTCCCAATCTCCATGGCTCGCTTTAAAGAAGTTGGCTCACGATCAATCATTGAACTCATGACGAAGTATGAATCCTTAGGGACTCCAATTGACTTCATCGTTTATGATTCCTTGCTACCTTTTGTGTTTGAATTCTGTAAAGAAGTTGGTTTACCCGGAGTGGCTTTCTTGACTCAACAATGTGGTGTTAACTACATAATGCACCAGTTTTATCATGGAAAGTTGTCTAATCCGGTGTCTGAGTTTCCAATCTCGATTCAAGGATTGCCGCCAATTGAATCTGCAGATCTTCCTTATTTTGGTAGTAATGTACCATACCATTTTGCATTGGTAGCTGCGCAGTTCTCAAATATAACTCAGGCAGATTGTGTCCTTGTCAACACATACTATGAGCTGGAAAAGGAGGTGAATCTTGTAATCAGAATTTTTGTTTGATTCAGGTTCTTTTGTGCTTGCGTTTTTGTCTCTCTGTGGCTCCATCACTTCTTTTCTTCTTTAATACTAATCATAAATGTCTTTTTGTTTTCTGTTTTAAGGCAACCATTCTTAGATGCTTTGTTTTCTTTTTATTGACCACTGCAAAGTTTAGTTCATTGACAATAAACTGGTACTCATGAGTATTTTGGTGCATATATGTCTCCGTGTATGCACTAAGTTCAGTATTTCTCGTTAAATAAACAAAATATTCAGAGCAAAAACAATTTGTGGCTTAACACAGAAAGGTACTTTGTCGAATTTACATCAATAAGAAGGGCTTGCTTGATTTAATTCTGTACTGGGAATTAATATTCAGAGAAAAAACAATTTGTGGCTGAACACAGAAAGGTACTTTGTTGAATTTATATCAATAAGAAGGGCTTGCTTGATTTAACACAGGCAGATTGTGTCTTGATTTAGTGAAAAATTTGCAACTAAATCAGACATATTTTTCAGACATACTATATCAACCATGGGACGCAGATTGTTGGCAGTTTATAGAGTATCCAGAACTTTATCCAGACTGATCAATTTGTGATTTTGTTTTTCCTTGCCTTCATGAAATGAAGATGTATGGATGGTTTAACATTATCCTTCCTCCCTTTTTTAACGCAGAACAATGTTAAAGCTACAAACAAGTGCACAATTTGATCACTTCCCTGTTTTATTTGGCACAGGTGGTGGATGAATTTTCCAAACACTGTCCGGTTCTCACAGTAGGACCAACAGTTCCTACTTTCTACCTGGATAGAGGAGTTGTAGATGACAAAGAATATGGAGTCCTTTCAACACAGAATGACCCGTCAACATGTTTAAATTGGCTAAGTAGCAAACCAACCAGGTCAGTTGTTTATGCATCGTTAAGTAGCGTGGGCTTCGCCAGTTTTGACGAAAAGCAATTACAGGAACTCGCTTTGGCTTTGAAGAACAGCAATTACTATTTCTTATGGTCTGTCAAATCTTTTGAGGCTGAAAAGTTGCCAAAAAATTTTAAAGAAGAAACATTTGATAGAGGCCTTCTCGTCCAATGGACTCCGCAATTGGAAGTACTATCGAGTGAGGCAGTAGGATGCATTCTTTCACATTGTGGTTGGAATTCAACACTCGAAGCCCTGAGCCTAGGAATGCCAATAGTGGCAATGCCACAATTTGCAGATCAACAGCCAAATGCTAAGTTTATCCAGGATGTTTGGAAGGTGGGGATTAGAGTGAAGCATGATAAGAATGGACTTGCGACTAAGGAAGAAATTGGACGATGCATTAAGGAAGTAATGGAAGGAGAAACAGGCAAAGGAATAAAGGAAAATGCTACGAAGTTTTCCAATTTGGCTAAAGCGGCAGTTAGTGAAGGTGGAAGTTCAGATACAAATCTCAATGACTTTGTAAGCAAGATAACGAGTTCCTCTTGATCATCTTGTTCCTGAGAACCTTATGTTGATTGTGTTGTTTGTCTATCTAATCTTCACTGACTTGTATTTCGTGATATTAATTACCAACAAAATTGAAATAGCTTTTTTTTTCCCAAGCTGGCAATGAGCACTTGTATTGCACATGTTAGTCATGACAAAATATATTATTTTCTTAGACTTAACTGAAGGGTTAAAAGATTTATGTAGAGTTTTAGGTGCATGACAAAATTATAAGTATGGATGTTATATCTTCTACAAGATTCATCTTTTTGTTGTACACTTAAATTTTTGCATTATAAACAATGTTGACCCATATGTTCTTGAGTACCCTAATTTGACTGCAAGAGTCTCAGTGTAAAACTCAGTTGTAGCCCAAATTTGACATTAGCAATAACATATTCTGTCTATATTAAGCAGGCACTAATATATTTGATAGTAAAAATCTACCACAACTATGCTTTTTCACTATAGGGGCCACAAATTCATTAAAAGTTGGTCACTTAAATCAATCTGTTGGTTTAAAGCATTAGCCACAGCCATTTGTTTAGTCCAAGGACATTTAGGTACTATTCAGTACAAACTATTAAGCTTTCATGACCACGACTCAAATATTGCAGATAACCCTTGCGCAGCTCATTAATTCTTAGAATGTTCAACAGTTTTTTGAAAAAACGAAAACGCCATTCAAAAAGGGCTTAAGCGAAAATTTCCATTTGTTGTATTCTATATGATCGTTCAATTATTAGCTTAGGAACCTTTACATCCATAGAATGCATATCCTAGAATGAACTATAGGTATACATTCTAGTATTGACTAAAAATATTAAAACACTCCTTCCCTTTATTAGCAGTTAAATTAGAATGGTGTGGCTATAAACTTTTTGATCTGAAAATAAATTAAGGTTCTATTTGATAAAGCAATTCAGTACTTAAACTTAATATATTCAGACGCGTTTGATAACAAAATATTAAACATCTGAATTAATTAAGTGGTATTGAATTTTTTTAGGTAAAAGTTGTTTTCAAAAATAAGTGATAAACTATTCACTCATCAGTGAATGTGATATACTCTCAAATGTATTTGATTTAATACTCAACAAGTCAATAATTTAATAGATTCAGATTTCAAATTTCAGTTTTCAGATTTCAGTTTTATCAAATGCACCCTAAGTGTCTTAAAACGAAACCGTCGAAAGCTAGCTAGAAATACTAGGGTGTGAGAACTATTTGCTTGTAAGGTAGTACATCAAAAACATGAAACTTGACTATTCTCAACGGATTTAGTTCTTCAAACTATCTAATTAAGAAATATGTGTATGATGACCGTCTTTTTATTGATCTAATAAGAAGCCGTAGAAGTCATATTTTATGTCAAAACCCTCAAGTTTTTGTGTGTATGTGATGGTATGGGCATCAAAATCAAGGCACCCATGTCAAACACAAAATTTATAAAAAAATTAAAAACTAAAAATACAATTTCAAGCAATAAAAGGAGCATATTTTCCATAAAGGCTTTCATATGTTTTCCACAGTGTGATTCTTTTCAAACTTACCACATTTGTATAGGGGTCGCACAATGATCTGTTACTCATTATTACTCACATATACTCTTAAGAGTTAGAACAATCACTCGGATTGAAAGACGGACCAAATTACTCGATGCTTAAATCGAATTCGATTTAGTAAGCGCTTGTTCAAGTTTGGTTCGCCAACTAATTAAATTAAACTTGAATAATAATTTCTATTTGATAAATTTTTAAGTTTAACTTGAGTTCGGCTCGATTAGCATAGAAATGACATTTACATGTAAAATATTTAAACCATTCGACCTTGACTCGATAAAAGTTCATTTGATCTCGATTGGAGAATTAAACAAGTTAAATAAAATTTGAAATTCGTCAACATAATCAAACAAGTTTCAATAATAAAATGTTCGATTTGTTTAGACTTATTTATACCCTCGCAATCAGGGGATTGTAAGAGATGCTCTCCCATGCAGCTGTAGTATATCTCGTGTTGTCGGAAATTTTTTGAGTCAATGCTAGCTGCATAAGGAGTAACTAATTGAATGAGACAATGATTGAGGCTGTGTAATTAATTAATTGGTTGCTAGCTCCTTTTTGAATTTGAGAACTTGTGCCTGTAATCTTTTGTGCCTCATTTTGTCTATCTTCTTTTTTGCCCCCCTTCTCCTTTCTCCTTATGCTTCCATCCTCTATACTTAGGGGTGTTCATGAATCAGGTAATCAATTCATTTATAATTTCGCTGATTTTTAATGGTTGAAAGTAAATGATCAGAAACTCTTTCCTAGCACTCTGTAAGCACAATGGTGGGCGGGAGCTTGTGATTTTAGTTGGTTTTCTGATTCCAAAACTCAAAAATTTGTGGCTTTGTCAAAACACAATCAAGAACATTTTTGTGGGCAATTTATACTGTAAATCATGCATCTCCTTTGTTTAGATCCTTAAAAACAGCGCTCATTTTCTAGCTGCTGATCTCAAAGCATCGATAATACCCTTGATTCCCAGTATAGTTGAATGTACAAATATCACAAAATTGTCTTTGATTAAGGAGCATGTTACTTGTTAGGACAAGAGTATCCTTGTTTTTTTTTTTTTTCCCCCATGTAGGGGTGTCCTGATCTTGTGGATCAGACTAATCCCCTGCGGCTGGCAAAGCCCTGCCCAAGGATACCAGCACGTTACCAACGAGGGTCAAACTGAGGACTTGCCGCTAAAGAGCGGACGACGGAACTAGACGAGCTGCCCGTTGGGGGGGACAAGAGTATCTTTGTAGCTTCTGCTAAATTTATGAGTGGAACATTATGCGAAGGCTAGGTGGTAAGTGGATTCAGGGCCTCATAAGTTCCATTTCACTCCATTTGAGAGTAAAATTGTCATTCCAAAATTTTGTTTTGTACCATATTACAACTTATTTACATATTATTTATAAGTTATTTATACCCTATTTCAACTTATATACATCAAGACAAATTTGTTTGAAATGAAACTTGTGACACCCCATCCCCGTAGTGGGGGGCATTGGTGTTCTGCTAGCCAGAGCATCAAACTTGGGAAGGCATCTGCACAACATGATAGGCAAGTAATTGGACAGATATAGTTTATGTAAATCATGTGATTCAAATTTTATTGCACTATCTCATCGTCTCACCAATTCAAAAATTAAAAATATGACAAAATTTGGATCACACGATCTGCAAGACACGAGTTTGTTTGGATAGGAGTTTAATTGGATGATTTATTTGAGATAATTACTATAGTGCTTTTTGTAATGTGATATATGTGAAATAAAAAAGTGATTGAAATTTGTGAAGTAAATTTTTTTATTTCCAATCTTCCTAATCTAAACACACCCAGTCTATCCAAGTTTTTGCCAACATTGAAGGAGGAAATACAAGAAGACAAAGTAGACGATTCTCTTTTGAAGAAGGGGATCGGGTTTTGCCTTAAAACTAGTTAAATTGGTACTATTGACACTCTAAAATGAGTTTGAGGCACCCCACCATTTTTTTTCTATTGGTCAACACGTGCCGCCACATCTGACAATGGAGATGCCTGGAAAGTCAGAATGACATATTTTTTTTTTTATGGGAACAAAGAAAAACGCGTCTTTTTTTTTGGGTATAAGTCACCTTTGTTCGTTATGGAATTAGAAAACTTGAAAGTCACTTTGACTCAACAACCACAATTTGGGAATATTTGGTTCTATTATTCTTTTCGTATGTCAAAATGATGTGAACGGAGATTTTATGCTCAATCCAGGACAATAAAAGATTCAAGTATATCTTCCAAATTCCAGCATAAAGTTCAAAATATTTTAACCTTGGATGCAAAATTAAATGCAGATGTGATCAGAAAAATTAAAACAACATAAATTAAATAAGAATAAATACCACTCCATTCAACAGATTTACTTAATAAACGGATTAAATAACTTCAAGTGTATTCAATAGATTTACTTCTAGCTTGTTTGTGGTTCCCTTTCCGTTTCCAATGGATTACTCAATCCTTTCGCTGTTTTGAATTTGTTATTTGGGAACTCGTTAATACATTTAATTTACACCAAATTTATCAATGGATTCGCACATTCACATTTTTTTTACACCTCCTGTATTTAGACATTTTTTTAAAAAAAATTAATAATACTCTTCTCACTGAGCATCATTAGACAAACTTTTATTATCTTAGTATATTTATAATCGGTGCCCACTATTCATTCATTATTACTAAACCAATTTATACTAAACCAATTTATTCATTCATTATTACACCAATTCATTATTATTACTATTCATTTACTATTTCAAAGCAAAAACTTGCATTTACTAATTCTTGGATGAGGACACTTTTCCGATTCAATTTGCTTTACTAATAAACTAACGTGTGGTATCCAATTTTAAGTAGTGTCACACTCCTTAACAAATCATTTTTTGTCATGTTATTATGCATTACTCCCTCCGTCCCATTTTATTGGAATAGAAAAGAGATTTTGGCTAAAACAATCTACTTTGCAAAAGAACATTTTTTTTGCTGCCATTATTTCTCTCTAGTATTATTATTGATTGTTATATCAAAAGTTCCTTTCGTTTTTTTTTTTTTTGTTATTTGCAATTTTATGCATGGTGTTCTCCTTACTTTGTACATTTTAAAAAGTTTGCAAAAATTCAAATTCTTTGACATAATGACCATAGTTTATCTAACTATAAAACTTCCACTGGAAAGCAACAAAAAAAATTTTAAAAATAATTCTCTTGCAATTTTTAACGCATCAAAAGAGAATGCAACCCTTTAAAAAGAGAGAGAGAGAGAATATGGCTAGATCATTATTAGTACCAAAATTAATTATTATATCTTTACATGAATTACAACAACAATATTGATTTTGCACCATTCAAGCCATAAATTAAAGTAATTATTAGCTTAGACAGCTTGTATTCACTGATAATAAAGTACATTAACTAAGACTATTTTTAAAAAATTAAAAATTAATTATATTCTTTGATCGGAAAGTAAATTATAATTTGAGACAGATGAAAAAAATAAAACTATCAATATAGAACGAAGAGAGTACTATTAGTTATGCA